CTTCTTTCAGTTCTTTTTTTGTTTGGTTGTTTGAACAAAGAAGACACAGCAAGCAACATAATTGGTCTGTTTGTCTATTTCTGTGCTAGACATTTAAGCTTGGTCTGCCTTCTTGTTCCTGGAAGACTCTGGACAACTGGGAAGCTGGCTGGTAGGGTTAACAGCCTAGAAGTAAAACAGGGGTTATGGAGCTGAGGAGGCTTCTTCTGAAAATTTGGACTGTTTAAACTTTGTATCTTGTCAAGAGCCTCGAGATGTCAACAAAAAACAGAAATGTCCATACCTTTAAACTGCACTTGTCCTGTGGAGGGTCATTAGCAAAACTAAAGAAAGGCGAGCTTCTGGCCTGCCTTGATATTCTTTGGAATGTCTGATCTTTGAGTCAAATTAACGCACAGTTACTGAATACAGATTTTTTTTTTTAAACTTTGAAATCTCTTTCATTAAGCAAGTGAAAATCCCTGCAGCATTCTTATATTGGAACAAGCTGATTCTATATCAGTATGTAGCATTTGATGAAGTCTGTCATTCAATGATGAGTTATGTTGAGAAATTGAGAGTTCCTGTGCACTTTTGCTTGAAATAGACTAAACTAGTCTGAGAAAACCAGTAGTAATTGAACTGCATCCAGCTCTGGACAGGCCCCTATGTTTAAAACTGTGGCCAGATAATAAAATAAATAATAGCAATTTATACCTCTCTGCAACACTAATGAACAAAAGAGTTGTTTTGTCTTGTGGAGGTAGTGAAAATGAAACTATTCTAAAACCAGAATTGTGTATATAAAAAGCAGATGTAAGATGAAAAGTGTTTATTGATATCTATTAATGTAAAATATTTTGCATAGTGTGGCAGATCAGGGGTTCATTACATTTCATTGGTGAATATGGGATTCTGTTATTTCCAGTCCCTGCAACTTTCTTTTGAATCCAGGCTCAGGACTGAGAGAGTCTCTGGGTTATGAGCAGGAGGTGAGATCGGTGGGCAGGTTCTTGGGCTGAGCTGATTCTGCTGCTTTCTGGAGGGTTAACCCTGAAGTGTTTTAATTTAGCTTTGCTTTTAGAGCTAGACATAGCACTTGTGTCCTCAAAAAGGCTTTAGCATTTCCTTAGTCATGTCATTTCCTCCTTTTCGTAGAAGTCACAGTAGATAGCAAAATAAACTTCCCTTCATGCAAATAATAGTGCTCCCAAGCTGTAGTTTTCAGCTCTGATGGTAGCAGTTTTGTCAGAGACCTGCACGAAGGACTTTTTGATTGAAATAGGGACACTGTCTGTTTTTCTTCCATTTCATTTTCTGCAGGTGGAAGAAAGTTTTGGAAACCATACCCTATGGTTTTATTCTCAGCTCTGCTACTAATATCCTCTGTGACCTTTGACAAATCTCTGCTCTGCTCATTGTCATAACTCCCAGAAAATAGCTTGAGGAAATAAAACTGCACTTTCACATTGGTGTAGTAGTTAGGAATGATCCCAGGGTTACTAAATGGAATATGTCACCTTTCTTATAGGCTGTTTCCCCTGCTTTAGGCTACTGCAAGTCATGTAGCCAAATGAATGTTATTTCAGCTCTGCCTTGTATCTGTGTAAATAGGAGTTAATGAGTTGCTGCACCTCGTGGTTGGCTTGTGACGTGGAGGTCTCCAGAGGGAGGATGAGGAGAGGCTGCCATGGAAAGTCCCTGGCTGTTGCTAGGCAGCACTGCATTTTAGCTTCCCTGTCCGAAAGTCTGCGCTCAGGTTTGGCAAGAAGAGGGAAGGCTGAGGGATGGAAAACCATTCAAAGATGGCTTGACTTACTTTTTCTAGAGCATGGCTCTGGTGTGCGGGGTGCAGAAAGTGTGCGGTTGCAAGTGAGGTGGAAGCAATTTGATTAAATAGAATAACATTTGATAACTTGCCTTCCCTGTATTCATTCTCATCTGCAGGATCATGTGGCTGGCTTGCTCTCTCTAGCTCTTTGTTTCAGATTTTACTATGATGTAGGATCTGGAAGCTGTGAGAGTGCAGCAGAAGTGGTATTGCTCTGCTTGCAGTCTAAGTGGAAATAAGAGAGCTCCAGGGAGCTTCAGATGCTGAGGTTTATGCTCCAGTTTAACAGCCTGTGGATGAGGGGATGTCATGTTTTTATTTTTCTACTTAGTCCATCAAGAGGAGCGCAGGAACAAAGAGGAAACACAAGAGGAACAAAAATGATGTAGGGTGTCCTGCTCTTGCTGCACAATGAGACCTTTACAAACCGTAGCAGTAGCGTAACTAGTGGTAAGATTCTTGTATAATTAAAGCTTATCACAACAACATCACTAAAAGAATACTTCTTTTTTCTGCCAGAAGAGTAGGGCTTGGGATACAGCTGAACACTTGAATTTCTCTTGGAAGAGTCTGGCTGGTTGTCTCATCTACCTACAGGCTAGCACAAACCTTTCATTCACTCTTTGGTGTCATCTTGTAATTTCCGTCTCTGCTGGTCCTCCCTGTATGTTTTAATATAAGGCCAGGATGGGTAAATATCTTGCTGCCTCTGATTTTAGTTGGGAAATGAAGTCTGTTGTTGCACCCAGCTGAAGTCGTTGGGGAAACTGTGGGTGTGACCATGCTAGGCATTTCATCCCACTGGACTGTACTGGAAGGTGTTTTAGTTGCTCCTTGGCCAGCAGAGCTCTGTTTTTCCCCTTCCAGCAGAGGATTCAGTGGTGCTACTGAGGCAATGTAGAGTTTTGTGTCACAGCCTCACTTCATCCTGGCAGTTCAGCCAAGTACCACTATAAAGCTCAGCTTTACAGTAGCCTTGGGAACCTGAGAGTCTCACTCAAAGTCAAAAAGCTTGTAGTCATATGGGATACAACAGGGTGTGTTCTGCTCTAACAGCATTCTTCCCCTAAAGGATGGGGCTCAAAATCCTGAGTCCTTATTCTAATTGTCATTGCTCAATCTGACTTTGTCTTGCACGTTTTATCCCACCTGTGTCTTGAGCTATCTAGCCTACCCTTCCTTATCCCACCAGCCAACATTTCACATCACCTGGAAGAAAAACTGAAGGAGGGACAAAAACTTTGCAAGACCTCACAGCTCCACACTTTTTTCCTTCCTTGCATCCTGGGTTTTGTCAGCCCCACCAAGGTCTCTTTCCTTCTTTTAAGGAAGAGAGCCTTAAGAAAGGCAGAAGAAAGAAACCTCATAGCCTTACCATAGTGCCTTGCAGCCTGGCTGGGAGCTGAGTCCTGCAATATTTCATATGAATTCCCAGGATTACTTGTTTAGTTGGACAGCTGTGGGCTGGGCTAGTTCAGTTCAACAGTTCCCTCTGTCTTCTGCCTGGTTTGTGCAAAAAGCTGTTGGGTCCTTTTGGGTTAAAAACCTTGGAGCTGTGCTGCCAGGTCAGACCTGGGACCAGAGCAGTCAGGCATGGCTGCTGTTGAGTCCTTTGAATAATGGAGACAGCAGTAGGATTCACCTGCTAAAGGATTAACAGGAAAAACTCAAAATCCTTGCACCTCCCTTTTTCCCCCATGCATGCTTGGATAATAAAATACACTGTCCGTGAGCCCCAAACTATTCATGTGAAAGTTTCAAAGTGGGGCGTGTGTGTGCCAAGTTCTGGATTTTAGATCAAAGAGGCTGATGTGCTTAGAAATGCTGGGTGGATCTCTAACTCCCTCTCCAAGTTCTGGGCAGTAGTGTGGATTGGAACTGCAAAGACATGCTTATGGGATGTAGAGTGACAGAGGGTGGTGGAGGAATGGATATACTTCCCACCTCCCAGCAGTACTTTCTACTGGAAAAATAATAAATACTTTCACCTAAGCACTGACTTCAGTTTTGGGGTGGTGCTTTTTCTTCTGAATTTTTTGGAGGTTGTTTGTATGTTTTGGATTTTTTAAGCTTTTTGAGTTTCCAAGACTCCCTGTACTGTGTTGCTTTTTATCTTGCTTTGTGCTAGAGAAAGCAGAAGGATAACAAACAAACAAAAAGAGAGAAAATATAAAGGTCTCACTATTTCCCACACATGTTGGTAAAATGGTGGGATGTCTTTCTACAGCCTTTAAGAGCTTCATCTGAAAAACACTTCAGTTGCTTTGTTGCATGTGGCTGTGGGGAGTGCTTTCCCATACTTCACACAGCTTTCCAACCGGAGAATTGTTAAAAACAGAAGCAAGGAAAATCTTTTATTTCTTTCAAAAGCTGATGGAGAAGATTCTTCCTGACATGCTTCCCTCACCAGGTATTTCAGGATGAAAAATACAGTTAAAATATTTTTTTTTAAATGAAAGAACTGTTCTCTTGAAGCCTTGTTTTTCCACTTGGGAGTTGTTTTGTGACAATTTTTTGAGGGGAAAGAATGATTTTATTCACTTGCCAGCTTTCAAAACACTGCCTCAAAACTGGGATAGAACTTCAACTCACCTGTTTTTTTCTGTAATTTCCCAGAATAATTGCTGGTTCAAGTATATCCTGTTTGCTAAGTTGTGTGGTTCATGTTATGACAACTTTAATGACTCTTGCAGTATATGGCAAGGAGATTTAGAACTGCAGGCAGGTGCTTTTTGCTTTTTTTTTTTTCATTGTAAATAAATAAGCATAATGAAAATATCTGTTTAATAATGGGAACATCCACATTTACATTAAATAGACCATATTTTCCTTTTTAAAGGTACATAAATTCACCTGCTTCAGGGCAAAGTTTAACCACTAATTGATGGAAATTAAGAAGAAATTCCCTTTCAGGCAGTTGTTCTATCTTTTTCCTTGTGAAATTTCTTGTATGTTCTTTCAAAGCCTAGGCCAGAGCACTCTATGCAGGCTGTGTGAGACAGTCTCACATTAGGCTGATTTACTTGCTGGCCACCTTTGGTAATTCTTAATCTTTCATATCCCACTTAACCATCCATCCATCCATCTTGTTTTAATGAAGTGTTGATTGAAAGGGACTCTTTACAATATCCCCCTCTTTCTGTTCATTCATGCTATTTCTACTAATCCCTGGATTCTACTTCTCTTTCAGAAGATGCTGCTCAAGAAGAATTGTGGAGCGAAGACTAGAGTAATTAAAATTCGTGTAAGTTGCCCTTTTCTGGTGCAGTTCCTTCATCTTTCCACATACACTAATGTGGTGGTTCTCACTGAATATCTGTGTCCAGAAGATGATTTCTGGAGATTTCTTGTGGCTTGATCAGCTGCATAACAAAAGTTGCCAGCATGGAGTATAGCATGTAGTTGCAATTTAGGCTAGGTGCTGACAAGGCTAATAATACATTGTCTTTTCCATTTTGGAGACCATGGTTTCAAAGCTTCCTTGGTGTTAAAGTCTACATCCTGTGCTGTGAGCTCATACAGCATAGCTGTCTGGTCATCTGGATCCTTCTTGACCAAGTGGTGAGAGGTAGGGTGAGAGGAGAAAAGGGATGTACCTGCATGATGCACTAATATTTGCAGAACCAGGTGGGATATGGGACTGGGTGATGACAGCTAAGAGTTGCATTGCTTGGATGACTTTGTAGCTGGGATGAAGCTGCAGTGTCCTGAGCCTCTCTGTGTTTGACAGCCTGCATCCCTATCAGAAATGCTCAAGTCTCATCCTTGTAGATTTTGTTACCTGCACCTCTGAGAGTTTTGTCTTTAGCAGCACATTCCTGGATTCATCAGCCAGCCCTGCTTCCTTTATGGGTACCTTGTATTTCTTTTGGTCTGTGCTGTATGGTCATGTGGGAGATATATCCTGGGCTGAATCAAAGAGAAATCTGACAGGTTGGGGGAGGTGAATCTACCCCGCTGCTGTGCTCTGGTGAGACCCCACCTGGCATGCTGCATCCAGCTCTTGAGTCCCTGAAAAAAGAAAGACAAGTAACTATTGGAGTAAATCCAGAGGAGGCCTGTGAGGTTGTTAAGAGGACTGCAGCATCTTCCCTACAAAGGCTGAGAAAGCAGGGGCTACTCTGCCTGGAGAAGATAAAAACTCCTAGGAGACCTTGTATCACCTTCCAGTACCCAAAAGGTACTGGAAGGGTACAAGGGAGCTGGAGAGGGACTTTTCATAGGGGTGTGTAGTGATAGAACAAAGGTTTTAAGCTGCAGGACAGTAGATTTCAATTAGATTTTGTGAATAAATTCTTTACAGTGAGGGTGATGGATGCACTGGAACAGAGAAATTGTGGCCAGGTTGGATGGAGTTCTGAGCAATTTGGTGTAGAAGTAGAAGGTGTCCTTGTCATGGCAGGGTGTTGGAACTAGATGATCTTGAAGGTCCCTTCCAACCCAAAACATTCAAAGATTCTGTTTGTTTGTGATCTTGTATGTTGTCACCAAAGCAGGTGTACCTGATCCTTCATGTTTGTGATACACAGGCAAAAAAAAGATTAGGGGGAAGAAAACAAATAATCTTTGTGATGGAGCTGCTATTTTCACTGCAGTGTTTCTTACAGCCTTGCAAGAGGGATGAATGACGGACCAGGATCCTTTCAAGGTTTTTACCTTGCCCAGCAGGCAGTAGGAACGCTGCCTTTGTGTACCCAGAAGTGCTGCAGTTGATAAGTATTCTGTTGGATGTCCTTGCCCATCAGTGCTCTGGAAATGAATTTGGTGTCTGAGAGGAGGAGGAGCAGGTAGAGCTGGCTGGAGCCTGGTGCACAGCTGGGGGTGGTATTTTTTTAACTTCTCAAACACCTTCTGTCAGGGCTCTTCAGTCCTGTCTTCCAGCAGCCCCACAGTGACCCAGTACTTCTGATTGCACAATTAATCTTGATCTTTTATGTACTCTCATGTGCTTCTGCCTGGATTGTTTTCAATATAGTTGTGTCCTTCTGTGCCCCACGAGCTCTCCCCAGGCTGTGCCTGTCCTTCAGACCCACCAGCTGTCTAATCCTGGTGCAATGTTTTAGCACATCTTGTTTATCACCTTCCTTTATGCCTGCCCTGTGCTCTTTCACTGGGTTTTTTCTGGGTGTCTGTCCCTGGACACCAGCTATTTCCAGTGGTGCTTGGTGATGGTTCTCCAGTCCCTTGGGTTTCAGTGATGCCTTGGTGAGGTGGTTTCCTGACACCTTAAGCTCATTATTGTGGCTTACTATTGTACCCCTGGAGAATCTGAAAGGGGAATTATCCCTTTGCTCCTTGAGCCCATGTCAGCTTTCAGTAAAATAAACAGCAGAAACTGGGAGCACACTTTTCTGACAGATGGCACAAAATCCACTCTTCTCTGGCCACCCTTGCCAAGCTGGGGCAGTGCCTCTCCACCTGAGGCACTCGTGACTTCCATGGTAATAGCATGGTGGTGCTTCACAGCCTCTTGCTGGTCTGTTGTAGTGGCAGAGCTGTTTAGTGAAGGTGCATTTTTGCCTCCATTTTTCAAGGGATTGTGAGTGCCCACTTTTGTGTAGGCAGCTGAGAAAGGAAGCAGCAGGTCCCTGGCAGAACTCTTTGCTGAAGTGCCTCAGCTCTGGAAACAGCTGAGAGAGGTCAATACTTCTGAAACACAGTGCCATGCTCTCATCATATAAAGGGAAACCTCAATCCCGCCAGCAGGACATGCTTGGCATGGTATTCCTTCTTTGTGTTGCCCAGCAGCAGAAAAAGGGGTAATGGGCACAAGTAGAAATGTAAGATACTCAGGTTGCCCAGGGAAATTGTGGAATCTCTGTCCATGGAAAGAGCCGTGGTGTGCCAGGATGCAGTCCTGGGCAACAGGCTCCTGCTGACCCTGCTCAGAGGAGGAGGTTGAAGTCAGCTATCTCTAGAGCAACCTCAGCCCTTCTGTGATTTCTAGGTCTTGTCCAGCATTCAGTAATGGAGTCAGAGCACACTAGGGACCTAAGTTCTATTGGAAGGGCTATTCTAAGGCCCTACTGAATGTGGCATTTTGGCAAGAGTGATAGCAGGAGGCAAGGTGAGAGGCTTGGCTCTGTGTTGCTGAGGGCCTGGTGGCACAGGTTCATTGTTGGAACCTGTCCATTGTGGTGAGGGTAGAAGAAATGAAGACAGATCTCATAGCGATGGGTTGATGAGCTGTTACAGGAGGAACCAGGCAGCTGTCTGTGTGTCTGAACAGGAAACATCACCATGTGAACCCCTTTGCTTGTGTCACTGCAGCACTGATGCACAAGTGCTCCTGTTTCAGATCAGTTAGTGTCTCTTTCTGAACTGAGATGGTCACAGATATCCAGAGAGACTACAGCTGGATGAACGGGCAGTGTGAACTGATCTGAGGAGCAGGCAGGATTTCTAGTGGCTTGTGCCAGGGATTTGAACCAAGGATCCTTGATTTCTTCAGTTTTTCTGCTGCTGACTAACTTGTAGGAGAAAGGGTCGTGCTTATTCCATCTTGTGTGAGGACAGTGATGACAGTGACCTTCTAATAGCATCAGCAATAAAGCATTTTCATCCTGTTCTTGCTGAGATCAGTATCTCATGTGGTTGTGAGATGATGCCTGCTTTTAAAAATCCCTCCTGGCTGATACTTTGGTTGCCTTGACATCTTGGGGCTTTGCTGGTGTGTCAGGGTGCAAGATGTTGTTTTCTCATGCATCATTACAGCTATTCCTTCCTCTGTCTTCTGCTGGAAGAGTCTCCCATGGGAAGGTGAGATGGATGGGGCAGTGTCTTTGCCCTCTGGCATGGAAACACAGCTACAGCCTCTGGTTTGTGGTCCTTGGGGGTCTTTCTTAAGCAGGTGACCTGCTGCTGTTAAGCAGGTTGCAGTTTTAACACTAAGGTGTCACCTTGCTCTTGTTTCCTATGCTTAAGTTTCCCAAGGGCCAGCTCAGGTGGTGATCAGCCAAATCCTTTCCCCTCACGCAGTGGTTCTTAAGTGGGATGATGGGATAGTGATGTGACTACTCTAAGAACCTAACAGTTATGGAAGAGAGGCTGGTTACCTTTTCTAATGTGCAGCAGCTCAGTTTGAAATGTTTTGAAATGAGGAATAGCAGCTGTGAGAGGTGGCAGCCTACTGTGAAGAGCAAATAATATTAAAAAGAAAAAAAATCTTACTTCTGTTCCCACAGAGTAAGAGATAATGGAACAGAAGAATCATCCCCTGTGGGCAAGTGAGCAGAGATAAATTAGAGGTGACAGCATGTACATGAACTATGGATTTGTACAAAGCACATGCCACTGCAAGGTCAGGGGCAGGTGTTTGCCTGTGTGTGTGGCACATGAGCTGGGCAGTGTGATTGTACAGACCTGGTCCCTGGTCTGTCATTTATTCCTGTTTCTGTTCTTCCTTGACAAACTTCTACATACAGTCTCTGAATGGGATTAGTGGAGCTGAGCTTGTCTTAACAGCAGTAGGTGGGTAGAAGACACCCAGGGGCTTACCAGTTGTGTCTCAAGGATCTTGTTGGGGCTGGCAGAAAGGAAGGAAGGATTTCAAGGCCAATCTGATAACCTGGCTGATCAGAGAGATGTTTTCTGCTATGTAAAAATAAGAATTTTAAATTGGAACATAAACCTCTTGTGCTCTTGCCTTGATCTTATCAATGTTGAGAACGCCCTCTGCTTGGGCAGGGGCCAGATCCCAGGGAATGACTTCCCTGTCTCTTATCTCTTACTCTGCATCCTAAAAGGCCACTGCAGAAACATGCTGCTGGCTTGTCTTCTTCTAAAACAAGGGACCTTTTCAGCTGGGAGCTGAACAGGAGATATGCTGGCCAGAACCTTCTGGGCAGATGCCTGAGCTAGTCACACGTGCAAGGCATACCAGGTGACAGAGCAGTATTGGTGCAAACCTCTGTTTCTGGCTGTGCAGCACTAAGTAAAGATGTAATCAAAAGGTTCAGTGTGTGTATACATACATATGTACATATACATATATGTGTGTGTGTGTATATAAACCCCACAGATGTTGCTCCTTCCATCACAGGCTCCCAAGGAGCACTGCAAGCATTTAGCATTGGATGCAAATAAATATGCAGATAAATACCATGATTGCAATTTCAGGGTGAGTTACACTGAAAAACCAGCAGAAGGTGTAACTCACTTGAAGAGAGATAGGGTGATGAGAACTTTAGACCATGTTCCTAGAGCTGTGTCCTTATTCATACCATATCATGAGTATAAACACCT